TAAGTTACTAAAATATTAAAATATGTTTTCTTTATTTGCCATTCCATTTAAGTGCAATTGTAACATATATTTGCTTTTGAAGAGACACAAAATGATACAATTATGATATACTAGCTATGTATCAAGTTAAATTAAAATGAAATAATTTTAAATTATTTAATAAAATATAAACAAATATAAAATTATTACTTATGTCAACTCAAACAAGTTGTACAATATGTAAAATAGTGGTACTAATGTATAGTTTTAAACGTAAACCAGTTAACATAAATACAACTTAACTACCATATTTAATAACTACACGTATAAATCCATATATATAGAAGTCATGATAAAAAGTTTCAAGTCACGAGTGGAATATTAAGAAAAGCTACACAATGTATCTTAAGCTTTTAAAGGTTGTTATTGTATCGTTTTTTATTTTCACAACTGACATTGTTTGTGGTAAAAAGCTTGTTGGAGAAGAGAAGAAAATCCTAGAATATAGTGAGGACATTATTAAGAGTGGTTGAGATTCAAAAACAAGCTTATCATGCAGTGTTCGTGATGAAATACATGGAGGAGGGCATGTTAGAGATTACATTCAAGATGAGATCCTTAATAAGTTGCGAGGAAATGGCCAAGGTAAAGAGGAAGCAATGTCAAAAGGAAGTATAACAGTAAATATGGACCACGATAGTCAATCCAAGAATGGAGCTGCGATCAAGAAAATTAATATAAGAAAAATGTCAATTAATTCAATCTACAATGTTGCACTTAGCACAACAACTAATCTCAGTCAACAATATGCCAATCAATATCCTAACACTCAAGTGTATTCTAATGGAATGTCTAACAACCAAGATGGTGGTGGAGGCGGTGGAGGAGGGGGAGGCGGATCTGAAGGGGGAGGCGGAGGAGGAGGTGGTGGTGGTGGTGGTGGAGGAGGAGGAGGTGGTGGTGGTGGAAGATAATCTACTATAAATTTAAATGCAATGTCTATCATAATAAATGATAAAACATCATAAAACGCATATCTAATTATAATAATGTCCGCATTGATTGAATCGATATCAGATATGCATGTATTATCTCGTTGTGTACTATACAAATGTAATTTAATCAATAAAGACATTGATGTTATATATATATATATATATATATATATATATATATATATATATATATATATATATATATATTCATTAGAGAAATGTCGACTTACATACTAAGTTAGTTATATTACTAAAAATACGTATGCATATTGCATTGCACACAATCTGCAATCTAAAATAAAAAGAATAATAAATATGTGATAGTTTCTTATTTATTAATAGTTTGGTAGTTTAATAAGAATCTATTAAAGACATAGACTAGATTTCCAATTAGTCGAATTTAATTAAACAATACAAAATTATCTATTTATCTAATAGATAATTATGTTATAATTTTAATTGGATTTCTTTGTGATCAATAAAAATTATGGAGAGCCTTTATAAGGTTTTTGTTTCACGATCAAATGTTAACATCTTCCATTCGATCTCTCTCTCTCTCTCTCTATATATATATATATATATATATATATATATATATATATATATATATATATATATATATATATTCACTCTTCCTCAAACTTTCAAAGAAATCAAGAAACCCAAGATAAGTTGTTTCTCTTACTCATTTAACAAGAAAGTAACATATTTATCAATGAATCTCTTGTGGTTGAGATTAGCACGACAATGAAGAAGTGTTGAGAGAAGAACTTAACCATGGAGATTATGATCGGATTTAAAGTTATTCTCATGGATCTTTTGGTTAGCTAAAAATAAATAATTGTGGAATTATAAGAACAACTCAAATGAAAACATAACAACAACATTACTAAATAAATATTAACAAGATATAAGAAGCCTTGTTGAATTGTAACTCCGTTTGAATGCAAACTATAATAACAGCAAAAATTAGGTCAAAAATAAAGTTGTTCGGTAACCATAATTGGGATGTACTAAGTGGTAGATATCGTAACAAGGTTTCTAAAAATATAAAGAACACTAAAATATGAGTTATAACGAAAAAGTTATGACCAATCGAAGATCCGCAACAATACCGGTAAAACACAATTAAGCATACAATATGAAATTCCAATAAAATACTTTTTGGCCTTAGGTATCTAAATTAAAGTTGTAGATATCATTAAACCGTAAATGTACACAAAAAGAACGCCCAAATCGTACTTCGTATGAGGAAGTTATGATTTTTCGAAGTTTCCGACATAGCAGTAGACAGCTAAAAACTCGTAATAGAGATCGGACGACTTTTAACCAACGCAACCTAAACGAGAATTGAAGATCTCAACAATAGTAGTACAACTGTAAAAAGACTGAAAAAAACGGACATCAAATGAAGAAGTTATGTATTTTTAACGGACATGAGATGTTCCTTTTTGACAACTAAATTTATATGCAGAAATTTTTTCATTTACCCTAACACTTTGCTTGGTCAGCGACTTGGGTGAAGACCAATTTGAGAGAAGTGAACTCTGACCGTGGTGCTGTTGGGATTTCAAAAAACATGTTTTGTAGGAGTGGGAGCACGTGTAGATATCTAGGAAAGTGATTTCTTAAGACTTTGATGTGATTTTAAAAGTGTCGGGGTTGGTAAAATCCCCTTCCATTTTGGGTCATCTGGGGAATAGATTTCAAAACCATTGCTTCAAAAAGACTTTACTTTCTTTTGGGTTGTGTCTGATGTTTTTGAAATGGTTTTAGAAACTGTAGATTCCCTTTTGTTTGTTTTCTTGATTAAAGAATTTTTTGAAAAGTAATTTGAGAAAACAACCTTTTCTGGACTCTTAGATTTCACGAGATCGAATTTCCTCTTTGAAAGCCTTTTCAACCTCGGCTTTTGGAGAACCGCAATCATTGATGTTCAGCTGCAGTTTCCTGCAACACTTTGATCATTTTTTAAAAATGAGGACTTGAGTCATCCGAACTAGAGGATTCAGTGTTTTGGGAGCATTGACCCACTTCAAATTTTTCTATGGGTATTTCATGATGAATTGGCTAAATGGTCATAGTGCTCTTGACTATGGTCTGCGGTAAGGAAGATTGGACTACCGCAAAGTAAGTCTGAGTTGAGACTTTTGTTGGACACTTGATGATAGGCAGATGGACAGAATGTGGCTCATGACTGCCGTGAGAGACGCTGTGGTCTGAAGTCTGAGAATTGGGATAGATTTTGTCACGGATAGGAGTTTGATCACTTGAGTGACCCAAAAATTTAGGCATAATTTCCTCAATGACACAATTGTTACTCAGATTATGAAGTCTACCGAAGTAACCTCTAATGTCTTTGGAAAAGGTTTTGTCACTGACTAGGAAATGGAATTCTCGGTCAGGAGGGACATAGGGACGGTCCTTGTTAAATCGGGGTGATGAGTCCTTTGAGGTAGAGTACCCGTTAGACCAACCCCAATTGTATGTGTTCTCCACGGTTCCATTATTTACAAGGTTCTCAACAGTTTCACTTTCATTAAAGAGTTTTTATATTAAAATATTTAAACGTACAATTTAACCCTGACCTAAATCTCTTTGGTTTAAAGTTATTTCTAACTGTGTTCCACTCAACATTCTTGCATCTTTCTCTACCACTAAGTCCTTTTCTAACATAGCTACTTCGAGTCTTTTGTCATCCAGTCATCCTTTTACATGAAACATCTCTTGGGATGCTATGTTCTTCTCCTGTAGAGCTTTGTTATAGTCTATAAGGACGGCAACACATGTGTCATTAAGATTGTCTATGAAGGGTTGATAGTTATGCATGCTATAATTTAGAGTTTGAATCATAAGTTTTCCCTATTCAACGATGCTTAAAGTCCCATTCTTTGCCATGTAGCAGTAGTTATTTTCCAGCTTTGTAGACCCATCCTCGTCCGTAGTTGCCAGGATGTAAATCTTGCCTTTTCCTTTGACGTTGCTGATGTCTTCATCCTCATCTCACTACTAGAAAAATAGCCTTTTACGACGCTCATTGCGCGTCGTAAAAGGCTCAGACGACGCGCAAACGCGCGTTAAGGAAGGCCTTGTCATAAAGAGAGACGACGCGCTTTTACGACGCTCATTTACGACGCGCAATTACGACGCGCGTTTACGACACGCAATGCGTATCAAGGAAGACCCTGTCATCAAGGAAGACGACACGCGTTCGCGTGTCATAACCTTACGACGCGCGTGTTAATGACACGCAATGCATATCAAGAAAGCCCCTGTCAAGAAAGGCCATGTCATAAATGAAGATGGCACACATTTTTGCGTATTGTAAATTTAAATGTTTAAAAAAATAAATTTATATATTTATTAATTTTTAAATTAAATTTGCATTTAATTTCTCATAATAGAAATAAAACACCATATACAAAAAATACAATCCATTGCACAAAAATTAATGTCATACAAGATACAAAATAAAATACAATAAATAAGTAAGATAATTCATTGCATAAAATGTCAAATACAAATAATCATCGGTAACTATATAACCTAATACTACATTGCTATTAAGGGACATCATCATAACTCACTAAAGGTCTTGGAACAATGTTCTCATCATTAACTCTTACACTAACCTTGCTTTAGTAGATGACTTTCACACAATCAATATTGAAATAGATGCTGCCCGGGCCACCATAGCTGCCCGAACTTTCCGAGTTCAAACTTCCATTGTTTGCTTCAGCTCTGCTAACTTCTTTCTGCTTCAAGAGCACAAAAGAAAATGAAACCATGAGAATATCACATGAAATTTAATACCCTCATAAAATGATATTAGGATTAAGGGAGTTGAAGGTACTTGTATTCTTCGAGGAAACAACTACCATCAAGATCATCTTCTAAATCTTTGAGTTCTTCTGTCTTGTTATCGATCCGAGATTTGGTTTTAAGTTTGGAATCTTCGTCTTCTACAGGAGTGAAGGGATCGGGTTTGAAGGTAGAGGGTTTGGGAGGTAAGTTCCCGAGTTTTCTTTAAATATCATCCCATTGAGTTGCTACTCTTTCAACATCTTTGTAGACAAAGTGAAGATCAGCTTTATTACTTGGCTCCCAAGATCTCTACATGCATAAGGAATAATGGGTATTAAGACTTAAGAGATTACATAATAAAAGTTATAGAATCTGAATTACAATATAGATCATACCTTCATATATCTTTCCTGCCCATCAAAAGCCATTTGTAGTTTCAGGTGACTTCTGGTAGAAGCTAGGATTTAAAAAAAGCAATTAAGTTAGCTTTATCAAATTTAATACATGAATTTGGTAACTTTTTAAGGAAATTGATAAAATAGTAAGAACATGTGTCTCCAAAGAGCCGAAACCTCCTTCAGAATCAAGAATGTTGATTAGCCCTTCCAATCCTCCCATGATTGACTCAATGAGCGACTCAACATATAAAACTGCATCTCGACCAATTCTAGTTAACTGCATCAACCAATCAATATTCAGTAAATTTCCCTTCAAAAGATAAAATAAAATTTACATATAAAATTTAGAGTAAGTTACAATTTAGAGTGGTGTCCAGGTCAAGAGCATGATATTAACTGCATTGTCAACTGTCATTCCAGGTATTACCTTCATCAACACTTGCACAAAATATTCCCTCTTGTTGTAGTTGTCATTGTGTAGCATCACTCTATATGGTGGTGCCATTTTCCTTGATTTCCTAAAAAAACAAAAAAAAAAAAAAAAGGTAAATCGACCTAATCTTTTACTATATGCATTTCAAACTTCATTAAAAGTGATACAATACCTCAAGTATGAACATCCCTAATTGTATGAATATTGAAAATAATACCTGGAACATCCATCCATAAGTAACTGTATGAATATTGAAAATAATACCTAATTGTATGAACATCCATCCATAACTAACTGGAGATCCTGTTTCAATATCAATTGCAAGAATAGAACAATCTGGAGAACCAGTGAGGATCACTGATGACAAAAACACACATTCAAAATCAAGTTTAAAGAAATAGCAACTATGTTGCTACTGAGGGTAAAAAGTAAATTACATGGTTCAAGAGTATATAAAGTATAAGGCGGCTATTGCCGCCGCTCTCTGGGACCCACGAGCTAGCATTCTTGGAGGTGGTCCATGTTGAGGAGTTTTAGGAGCAGTAGTTGATTTTGAAAAAGCAGAGGTTAAAGCTGCCATGGCTGATGCTCTTTGGGTGGCCCCACTAAGTTTATTTCCCGGGGGCTTAACATCTTGGCTTTGTTGTAATAAAATAATATGATAGGGGCCACTTAAAAAAAATTAATCCAAAAAAAAACTTTTTATATAAGAAATACCTCTGCTACACAGCCTAAGCCGAAGAGTTGCACAGCCTTCTTGTGGAATGCATTTCCGTGAGCCTGGTTCCATTGAGAAAGAGAAAAATGAGATACAAATTAATTATTAATTATTAATACATATGTATACATACAGTTGTTTTTGCAGGATCCCATGAGAAATATGTTGTGAAGAAGCAAGGTTCGTTTCCCTCTGTTACTCTGTATAATATGACAGATGGGGACAAGGAATCCATAGATGCAGCCAGCTCTACATATTTCTGAAATCAACTTTTTAAAAAACATACCAACCAATACAACGTATAATTTTGCATTTGTATAATTATTATTATTATTATTATATGTACCTTGCCAGTTTCAAAAGTGTTTTGTTTTTCCGTTGACTGTGCTAAATGACCAACCCAAACGATGACCTCAGCATGTGTATCTAATATCAAGATATCCTCTGGAAACAAGTCATCTTGTTCAAAGCTGTGAACTTCTTAAATCTCTAACTTTCCTATAGAGGAAAATAAGATGATAAAAACAGTTGGTGGATATAATCAGCAAAAATGGACATGTGAAAGATGGATGATGGTTTATGGTTTTGAAACCTTTATTGCTTATTACTTCAAACAAGTGAGGTTCACAGATGATTTCCTGTGTTACTTTTCTACTTGAGTAGCTTTGTTTTCCACCAAGTGCAAGCCAGAAAGCTAAGCTCTCTTTTACTTCTCTAGAGAATTTTACAGGTACTCCAGACTAAAGATATAAGAAAAAAGAGTTGAATAAATTATCAAGGACTAGAAAGGGGTATAAAAGTAAATAAAGATGTAAGACCAATAATTTAAAAAGCATACCTTCAAAAGTTCAACAACTTTTGTTGCTAATTGCTGCTGTTCAGGTGTACTCTGGTTTCCATACCCTCTCTACTTGTTGAGCTTTATTATTATGAACTGAAGTTCCTAATATTTCAATCAGTGCAGCAGTATCTGGACTGTAGGTCTCATCATGCAGTCCTTTCTCTACAATGTAGTTTTTATAACCAGAGCTCAATCCACCCTAGTAAAAGTAAAACCAAATATTTACCATAGTTAACAGCCTTCTTCTAGAGCTATATCTTTTACAACTACTACAAGTGGAAGAGAGTACCTTGAGAACAACCATAGGATGAAAGATAGCAACAAATTGTGGTGCTTCTTTTCCTTGATGCATTCGACCCTACGATAAGATACTAATATTTCAAAATTAAATTTATATATAATCAGCAGTGCAACAAGTAAAAAAAGCTATTATATTTATGGTACCTGAACAGGTTTGCATTTCATAGAGTTGAACATTGAAGTAGTTTGTTGAACAGCTGTTTTTTAGTCCTCCTGTGATCAGACAACATAACAAGTCTTCATCCCAAATACACAATTAAAGATTTTTTTTCTTAAAAAAAGAAAAGAAAAGAAATAATACGGTTTTAGTTTACCTGGATGCTATCCTTCCCAATCCAACAGCACAGGTAGTGATCTTCTTTCTTTTCATCAGAATGGTAGGAGTAAAGACAAATATAGCAATCTCCACTGTAAAATTTTCCAATATCCTCCTTGGGTAATTCCGTCTTTTCTTCACCATCAATACGCCATACCTAAAGAGCCCACAATTATTTTATCTTTCTACATTAAATCTAAATGTAGCAACAAGTTTATGATCTGAAACCTCAATTTTTCCATTTTCTCCAAGCAAATGTGGAACTTCCTCCTCTACAGGAGCCGTTTTTGTCTGACCCTTGGCAAAAGCACCTTGTTGCTTCAGCAGAGCTAGTCATTAGAACAAGAGTAGAACTTAGGGTAAGTTTTAGAAAAAGTCAAAAATAGCCCTAGAAAACTCAAACACCCATGTCCCATGTAACAAAAATATATATAAGATATAGAATGAATCTACCTGCTACTTTTCCTCTAGTTTCCTCAAGAGCAGAAGCTGTTGAAGCTACTGACCAAGAAGCAAAGTTAGATTTAAATGAACTTGTCTCATGACCTTGACTAATACGGGTTATAGGAGTTGACTTTGGCAGATTTTCTTTGAGAATAAACTCCTATAGATGGTGGTTATATTATATAGGGGAGAATCAATAACAGATACACAACATAAAAGATAAAAGATAGTAAAAGGTATAAGAGGGAGGAACACGATGGTGGCAGAGAGTTAAATCATAACACAGTACCTGCTACTAGATGGAGAACCGCTGCTTCCAAAGCCAGGAAGCAAATCATCGAAACCTCTTGAACTCTTACAGGCAGCGCGTAGGTCAGCGACGGTGGCGGAGAGGAGAGATGGGTTGGAGGATAGCTACCGCTGCCACCAGTCTTGTCAGACACGAATACAACTTCTCCGCCATCGCGGTTGTAAAAACCGTTGTTTCTTCACAAACATAAATCATTATCTACGGACTATAATCGTGAAGAGGCGTGGCTAAAGCTGAAGGACAACCACCAGCAGCGCCAGCACCTCCATAGGCGGAGCAAGAGCTTGATGGTGGAGTAGAGATAACTGGCGAGGGCTCGTTCAGATGCTGGTGGAGGCTGTTTAGGGCTTAGGGCTTGAAAGAGAAGGGAGATAGAGAGAGAGAGAGAGAGAGAGAGAGAGAAAGAGAGAGAGAGAGAGAGAGAGAGAGAGAGAGAGAGCTAGAGAGAGAGAGAGGGGAAGACGAGCTGCTACGGACTATAATCGTGAAGAGGTGTCACTGAAGCTGAAGGACAACCACCAGCAGCGCCAACACCTCCATAGGCGGAGCAAGAGCTTGATGGTGGCGTAGAGGTAACTGGTGAGGGCTCATTCAGATGTTGGTGGAGGCTGTTTAGGGCTTAGGGCTTGAAAGAGATGAGAGAGAGAGAGAGAGAGAAATAGAAGATAGAAAAAATGAGGCGGGTTTTCAAAATTTTAGGGATTTCGTTTCCCCCCTTTTCTACTAAAAGCGCGTTTCATTAAAATTATAAAGCGACAGGTACAGACGACGCGCATTTAAGATAAAGTGCCCTCCGTGTTTTTAATTTTTTTTCTTGAGACACTAAATTAAGGGCACGCAATAATGCGTGACGTGAATCCTTAAATTTTTTAGAGAGATGACACTATTTTAAGGGCACGTCCTTTTGCGTATCATTAATAAGTGCGTGTCGTAAAAAGCGCGTCATTAAAGGTCTGTTTTCTAGTAGTGTCTCCGGATGACCAAACTGATGGTCCCTTTTCACATGGGCTACATATGCCCATGCTTTCTCCTTTTCCTCCAATTCTTGAGCCATTCTAAGATAGAATGGTCTATCTTTCACCACATTAGCTTTGCAGTCTTTGGTAAAGTGGTTCTCCTTGTTGCACTAGTGACAGATTAGAACATCACTTTTATCTTCTTAAGAGGTACCGGAGTCAGTTGAATTGGTGGGCTTCGGTGCCTCTTTGGGTTGAGTGTTCTGAGGTTGCGATGGTGGGTGAGTGTTTTTGGAGAAACGGGAATGATTGTTTTCAGGATTAAAGTTGCAGTTGAAGGGAGGTTTGTTGAACTGATGATTTTTACGAAAAGAAGAGGGTGGTAGCCGGTTGAACTGTTGGCTAACAATAGTAATTGCATTCTGGAATTCTTCTTCATCATCATACTCTGACTCAGCTTCGTATGACTGTGGAGGATTTTCATGCAAGGGAGAGTAATATTAAGTATGTGGTGCTTGTGCTATGAGAGCAAGTGGTCCTCCGAAGTCAGCACAATCCTTGAGTAAGGTAGATTCCTGTGCTTGTAATTCACCATAGATCTTGTACAGAGATAAAGAGTGGATCTTTCTATCTCCTTAGACTATCATCTTAGCAGTCATCCAGTGTCTTCCAAAACCATTGAGTAATTGAAGGTTTGTCTCATGGTTGCTTCGAACCGTGCCAACATTAGATAACTTAGTGACAATCAGATTAAACCTTTTGAATGAGTCTTCTAAACTTTCACCAGCATGAGCTTTGAAATTGTTGAACTCATTGAGTGCGGTTGTGAGCTTCTTATCTTAAGCTTGTTCTGTACCCTCATATAAGTTCTTGAGAACATCCCAGATCTCTTCTGCTGATTTGCAGTTTATGATAATGTCGAAGTTGTCTGGAGCAACTCCATGGGAAATCTCATAAAAGGCAATAGCGTCATTTTCCATTTTGTCAAGATCATCTTTGGTAGGACGATTCAGGTCTGGTTGACCTCCTCCTAGTCTAGTTGTGGTGCCATCGGTTTGAACCGGTGTCAGAACAGGGACATGTGGCCCTTCTTCTACAGATCTCCATACATCTCTTCCAAGTCTCCATAAGTATCTATCCATCCTCTGAGACCAGTGATGATATTCGTTTGCCATCAATATTCGAGCTCTATTAGAACCACCAACACTGTTGGAAACATTGAGAGATAATGCTTGTGCTATATTTCCTTGTTTTGAAAATTATTTTTTTGTTTTAAGAAATGAGCTTCATTGGTATAGAAGGCTTTTAGAAAATCAGAGTTTTGCTTCAAAAGGCAACCAGTTTGGCTCTGATACCAATTGTTGAGAGAAAAACTTGAGAAACACACTTGAACAATCGTTAGAACAAGTTTATCTTGTGGAATTTAAAGTTTAACTCAAAGGATCATAAAGCTCAACATTAATAGAAGTTAGAGTTAGATAGTTAGATGATTAGATGCGGAAATATAAGGAAATATAAATAACAACAAGTATTATATCAAGTATATACTTAAGTTGATTCTTAACAAGGAATGCAATCAGACTATGTTAGTAAGTGAGATCAAACTTAGTGATTAAGTCAAGATTGACTTGTTCCGAAGGAGAGATTTAGATCTGTTATATTTCAGATTATGTTTAGTAGAGTTTAGAGAGTAAGAAGGAGATGAGAGAGTAAGTTATGAATTTCAAGAGATATGAGATTCAAGATGCGTAGATGATGTATTCATTCAGAAAGAGAAAACTCCTTTTATAGAGTATCAAAGATTACAAATGTCCTATCTGTTTAAAGTTGCCATGCAAGGCACATTTGATAAAAGAGAGTACATTTAGAAAAACAGATAAAATACTAAGACTAAGTGCTGATGACGATGACTGCAATTGTGGTACTTGACTGTGGATGAGAGAGTAGTTGCTGATAAGGGAGAGGCTAAGATTTGGATTAAGTTAAAGAGGGTCACTTCTATATTTCAACAGTTTTATCTGATTTCACAAGTTTATATTAAATTAATTAAAATACTCAACTAATTACTAAAGTAAACAACTATAATGATGATTTTAAATCAAGAATAAAGGGTGCTTTCGTTTAGCTTTGAATCCCTCGTGTTTGATAAATTTGATTTCAAGACAGTGGATTAATTCTGTTAGTTACCAAATAAAAGTTACCAGTCATCATGATCAAACTAACTAGCATAAGTCAATTCAATAAATTTAACCCTAATGAACATGCAATTTAAGGAAAATAAATTGATTTTAAATATATTTTGGACTCTAAATGATAGAATCTATAGACTACTATTCTTTGCTCAAGTCTAGTAATCAAGCAAATATTATGATCAACTATTGTTGTCTAACACAGTTAAGCAACTAAGTTATCACCTATACTATGATATGACTGATCACTAGCTCTAAGAATTTAATGATTATAAATAGCTAGGTAAATCAATTCCATGCAAATAACTCAAGATTAACTACACAATCTTGAGACAAGTAAATAAAGATAGAAACTTAAGCAGGCTAGTTTTAGATTCACCAAACAATATTTAAAGCTAAAACTAACTTCATCAATCAATAAAATAAGAAATCAACACATAGTAATTAAGAGTTCATCTAATCGAAATAAAATCAAGAGCTTTTAGCCCCTAAATACAGCTAAAAACACATAAACAAAAGGTAAACCACGCTAAACATCATTAAAATAATCAAATCGAATGTATAGATGTGAAACCTTGCTCCAGTCTCATTATCCTTTGATATCTAGTCGAATTATGCCCTCCAAGAGTTCTTGGAAGGGTTTTTCCTAGTGAATAATCGCATCCCTAAATCCTCTCCATCTTGAAATCGATTTAATGTTCGAATATATATACTCTCCTAAAATCTGACCACCACGACGCGGTTCAAAAGGCAACACGTCGTGGTCTTCATGAATATCGCATATTCTCTAAGTTACCTCATTTGTTGAGAATTTTCCATTCACCACGTCATGGTGCATGATTCCCACGTTCTGGTCTTTTGTCTTCAAGCCTTCTTTGTCTTCTTTTGCCTTAGCTCATATTTTCTTGCTTCCAGCTCCTTGTTTGCTTCATTTTCATCTCAAGTATTTCTTTGCTACTAAACAAACATATTTCAAACATAATAACTACTTTATGTCCCAAAATAAAAATAATTTTAGGTAAGACTATTTGAAATATGTACAAAATACATGAATAAATATGCATATATTACCGACCCGAAACAATTATTATTGATTATTTTATTTTTATCGGATTCACTTAATTGCGGAACCACATTATTTCATGCTCTAGACTCAGCCTTTGTGTAGAATATTTTATGGTTTTAACAAATAAATTATGATCCAAATGATCTTTATAAACCTCTACGAACCCTAATGTATAACATTTTTAGAAAACATTTTTAAAATAAAAACATTACGCCATGCACTAGGTTTGAAGTGTTAATGGTACAAGATCGGGGAAAAGCTTGTGTAGGGGGTGGTGTTATGCCCTGTAGATGAGGACGAAAAGAAAATTTTGAGCAGGGTGGCTTACGAAGTAAATTAATTATAAGAGCATATCCAATGTTTAACTCATGTTATAACTTAAGGTTATTGTCACCTCATTATTTAATAATTTTGACCTCTAAAAAACTGACTTCTCCAATGGTTAACCTTATTTTAATAGTTTTTCTACAAACTTAACTATGTTTCCCTAATCAACATAAAATGTTTTACAGAACATCTAATTTAATTAATTATTTTTTAACACAAATCATTTCTTAATATGAATATATAAAATACAACTATATCAAGCCTTTATTTATATACCTGAAAAATGAAAAAATATTTTGTTTTAGTTATAAAAATAAAATAAAAATATTGAAAATATTATAAAATAGTTATAAAATAAAATATATTTAAAGTGGACATGTAAAATTTATGATATTATTGAGTGGTCAAACAAAAAAACAAAAAAAATTGTTTGCTCAAATAGTTTTAAATGGTCATTTAAAAGACTAACTAATAATACACTATAAAAAATACACCATTGAAGATGTTCTAATGGTAAATTATTCATTTTATATTGGATTCGTGAAGTAAAACAAAATTATCTTAGTCGTGGACTGAAATATCTATAAATAATGGTTTTGGCATCCGCAAATGTTACATAGTTTTTTATATGATAATCATAAATATAAAAAAAAATTTACAAATTCAAAATGTAATATATTTGTCTATTATATAGACTTTGTAAACATTGTATACTACACTATTTATTTGTAACTTATTATCCACGCTAGTTTGAATTAGTCATTTTGAGCCATATTGTAGTAAGTCCTAGAAAAAAAATTAACTTGCTTTCCAAATCTTCTAATTTTTATATGTTATTATAGTAAATTAGGATGAGATTTGTAAAAGTTCTTTAAATCTGTTAAACCTTTTATATGGTTTACCAATTTAATTTGAAACACTCTTTTTCCATAAAAATAATTATACATATTTTTTAAATTTGTTATTTATGTATTTTATATGAAAAATAAAATGAGACATAAATGTGTATTTGATAAGTCTACTTCAATGTAAATTAGAAAAGAAGTTAAGAAGAAGATTGGCGTACACATTAATCACGTTTGAACTAATCACGTTTGAACTTAAATAGTTGGATTCTTTACTAAATAACATAAAGACCTTTAGGTTGAAATACTTCATACTAGTAAATTGATTACTAAGTTACTAAAATATGTTTTCTTTATTTGCCATTCCATTTAAGTGCAATTGTAATCATATATTTGTTTTTGAAGAGACACAAAATGATACAATTATGATATACTAGCTATGTATCAAGTTAAATTAAAATGAAATAATTTTAAATTATATAATAAAATATAAACAAATATAAAATTATTACTTATGTCAACTCAAACAAGTTGTACAATATGTAAAATAGTGGTACTAATGTATAGTTTTAAACGTAAACCGGTTAACATAAATACAACTTAACTACCATATTTAATAACTACACATATAAATCCATATATATAGAAGTCATGATAAAAAGTTTCAAGTCACGAGTGGAATATTAAGAAAAGCTACACAATGTATCTTAAGCTTTTAAAGGTTGTTATTGTATCGTTTTTTATTTTCACAACTGATATTGTTTGTGGTAAAAAGCTTGTTGGAGAAGAGAAGAAAATCCTAGAATATAGTGAGGACATTATTAAGAGTGGTTGTGATTCAAAAACAAGCTTATCATGCAGTGTTCGTGATGAAATACATGGAGGAGGGCATGTTAGAGATTACATTCAAGATGAGATCCTTAATAAGTTGCGAGGAAATGGCCAAGGTAAAGGGGAAGCAATGTCAAAAGGAAGTATAATAGTAAATATGGACCACGATAGTCAATCCAAGAATGGAGCTGCGATCAACGAAATTAATATAAGAAAAATGTCAACTAATTCAATCTACAATGCTGCACTTAGCACAACAACTAATCCCAGTCAACAATATGCCAATCAATATCCTAACACTCAAGTGTATTCTAATGGAATGTCTAACAACCAAGATGGTGGTGGAGGCGGTGGAGGAGGGGGAGGCGGATCTGAAGGTGGAGGCGGAGGAGGAGGAGGTGGTGGTGGTGGTGGAGGAGGAGGAGGCGGTGGTGGTGGAAGATAATCTACTATAAATTTAAATGCAATGTCTATCGTAATAAATGATCAAACATCATAAAACGCATATCTAATTATAATAATGTCCGCATTGATTGAATCGATATCAGATATGCATGTATTATCTCGTTGTGTACTATACAAACGTAATTTAATCAATAAAGACATTGATGTTATATATATATATATATATATATATATATATATATATATATATATATTAGAGAAATGTCGACTTACATACTAAGTTAGTTATATTACTAAAAATACGTATGCATATTGCATTGCACACAATCTGCAATCTAAAATAAAAAGAATAATAAATATGTGATAGTTTTTTATTTATTAATAGTTTGGTAGTTTAATAAGAATCTATTAAAGACATAGACTAGATTTCCAATTAGTCGAATTTAATTAAACAATACAAAATTATCTATTTATCTAAT